CATAGTGATCCTCTTACTTTCAGCCTCCTCAGCTCTAGGATTACAGGCATGGTCGGTGTGGCATGTGGTGCTGGGGATCGAACCCTGGTCCCCATGCTCGCCTAAGCAGGCACTTAGTCCACTGAGCTACCTGGCTCAGAACTGTAATATATTTTTTATGTAATGTATATATTCAGTGTGTTTTTCAATCATAACAGGACATTTCTTGTTGTTGTTGTTTTTGACTGAGAATTGAACTCAGGATTTGTGCTTGCTGGGCAGGTGCTTGTATAACTGAACTATATTCCTAGCCCCAGGACATTTCTTATTTTTTTCCCCCCTGTATTTTAGGGAAGGGTTTACAGGGTGTTCCGATTCTTACTACTAGATTGGACTGGTAGTGATCCACCTGTTTACAGCCTCCCAAGAGCTGGGATTACAGGTGCCTGCTACCACGCCCAGTCTCAGTTGCTGTCTCAGCATGCCCTGGGGGCAGAGCCAGCATGGCAGGCCTGGGGATCAAATCCCGGCCCCTGCATCTGCTTGCAGGTCCTTTGATCTGCTGAGCTATTTGGCCAGCCCCACCCAGGACATTTCTTAATCTTGTTTAATGGACATGTTGTCACCAAAAGTCATGAATGTTTGCTCTTAACCATGAACTTGAGTGGCTTGAAAGATGCACGGAGATGAATAAAGCACCCTTCCAGGCCTGCTGGATGGGCCTTGGAGGCATCGCCTTGTGTCCCATGCCTGGGCTCTGGGCCCTTTTGCTTAGCTCTTTTTTTTTTTTTTTCAGAACTGGGGATTGAACTCAGGCCCTTACGCTTGCCGGGGAAGCGCTTATTCCACTGAGCCATCTCCCCGGCCCTTGCTTAGCTCTTAACTGGTCTGTTTCCCGGATCTCGTGAGGTGAGCCGCTTACTCCATAAGCCCTTTCTGCCGTAATGCTTCTTACCTGAACCTCACTCTTTAAGGCTGTGAGACAAGTAAGCCACTTCTTCCTTTGAGTTGTAGGGACCAGGTATTTGCTCCCAGCACTGGGGAAAGCTGGCTCATCTGGCCTTATTTGGGGAGGGGAGTAAAGGTAAGGAGGCAGAGCCTTGAATCAGAGTGATTTAGGCAAATTCAATTATTTTGCTGGCTGACCAGGCAAGAAGACATCGGTCAGTGAATGACCCTTGACTTTGCATCTGCTGCAGCATTTCGGCATCACTTGGGAAAACACTACCGGGTACTCAGAGAGGATGGCGCTGTCAGTGGGCAAGGACCAAAGCCTTTGTCTTGTATAAGTGGCTCCAAACAGGACGCCTCTCCGCCCCTCCCCTAGGGAGTCATTTATACCAACTCCAATTTGCAAAGTGGTAATTCGAGGTTCAGGAAGGAGGTGATCTGTCTGAAGCTACATACAGTCAGCGGCAGGGCAGGGTCAGTCTTTGTCCTTACTTTTAGATCCAGTTCCAGCCCAGTACACACCAATACCTTGTCGCTCTGTCCTAACAAGTTAGGAGAAGACACCGAGCCTCCTGTTCCCCTCAGTTATCAGACAGCTCCTTGCTGGGCCTTGGTCTCTCCCGGGCAAACTGCATGCAGGACAGAACAGCTCCAGGCAGAATTTCAGTAACTCCTTTTTATTCCTAATTTCCCTGAAGGGCTCAGCACTTGGGACCTTGTCACCTCAGGACTGGTTGCACCCCAGGTCTAGTCCCAAGGTGGTACCAGCTCTAAGCCCTTGGTCCTGTTCTTTGCAGGGAACAGGGATCTGTTAGAAGCCCGATGCACGAGCTGTGAGAAAAGAAGTGACAGAGCCAACAGAGCCCAGGATGACATTAGAGGACGTGGACAGTCCGGCTGCCCCTGGGGAAAAACACAGAGTCAACAATGGGGAACAGACCAGGAGAGCTCCCAGGGACAGAAGTGACAGTTGGGAGGCCCTAGGACCCTCAACAGGGCCCAAATCTAGGGGCCCCACAGCATCCTCTCTGTACACAAATGCCTAGGGTCTCTGTCTTGGGACAGGGCTGATGCGGGCAAATTCAGTGGAGAATGCAGCTGGAAGCTGCCTTGTTGTGCAGGGAAGGAGGCTGAGGGTTGAATCTGCTCCACCCACTGAAGTAGAGGAGAGGCCTCATGTAACCCCGCCTGAACCCCGCATGACTGGCTGGGCTCCTCCCTGCCTTATTCACATCCCAGCAAAAGCCCAGAGATCCTGCAAGGCGACACATGCACAGAGCCTAGCACACAGTGCTGAGTTCCTCAATGGTACACAGCTCTTGTCCTGTCTTGCCTCCACAGCAAGCCGGAGCTGGACACTCACCCACGGACTGCAGAGTGGACACCAGGCTGCCTGCAGGCACCCCGCCGCCATTGGCGATGGCAGTGATAGACATCATCTTGGCCGCCAGGGATGAGCCGGTGATTCCTGTTGTGGTGAAGCCCAAAGCACCCAGCACCATGGGCACAGCTGCCACGGCCAGTCCTGCAGGAAGAGGAGCTGGTAGGGGCGGGCTCAGAGCTAGGGGCCCCACATTGGTTAAGGTGGGGGCTCTTTACAGAATATGGGGAAGAAGGTGGGTTCCTAGCACAGGGCAGACCACAGGCATGGTCAGCAGGGGTCAGCCTGGGAGCAGGGCCTGGTGGGAAAGTACAGAGAAGGGGAGGAGTCCCTCGGCACAGGGTCCCGAGCCAGGCTCTGGCTGCCAGCATGTGCTTTATGGGGAAAGTCACTTGTCCAAGCCTCAGAGTCTGCCTTGGTGCAAGACTGTGACATCCACTGGTTTGTGAGCTTTGTTTGGACAGAAGCAAGTCTGGCCCACAACAGCGTGATATAGGAGCAGTTCAGAGTTGCTGCAGGTGACACCTCGGGTCCCCTGAGTCTGCAGAAGTAGGTGGGAAGCCACCACACCCACGGTGGCAGCGTCCAAGACATCCCTGTGATGCACTTCTGCTGTTCTGAGTGGAGCTGTGCGACTGCTGGGGAACCTTGCATGGGAACCACGGGCCTAACATGCAGAGGATGGAACAGGAGCCCAGGTCTCGGGGATACTCCCAGTGGGGATGCGGCTCCTATGGAGGACACTGCCATCCTGCCTCTACCCTCCTGTCCACTCCCTATTATCTGCAGTGCTCTCCAGTCCCTCATCTCCCATCCTCTCCCTCCTCCCAGCTCCTCCCTCCACCATCTTCTGAGGCTCAGAGAAACCTGGGCAAGAACAGCATGGCTGCTTCCCTGGGCTGTGTGCCCAGCTGAGCCCCGTCTGGGCAGACACTTACCTCCTCCAACTACCCCGATGGCAGCCTGGGCTGAAAACAAAGGAACATTTTGTGAGGAGTGATTCACACTACCATTTTCTCCCCTCCCCAAGACAATCACCCAGCAAGAATGGAGATGCCCAGGGAGGGCTCCTAGGAAGGAATGGCCCTGCCTGCCTGCCTGCCTTGAGCCACAGAGAACACAAGTCAAGTGGATCCACCATCTTCTCATGGGAACAGGGGTTAAAAAAGCAGTATAAAATGCAGTGAACCGGGGCTGGTGAGATGGCTCAGTGGTCTAAAGCACCTACTTAGAAAAAGCTTAGGAAGGGGCTGGGGAGATGGCTCAGTAGAATAAGTGCCTCCCTGGCAAACGCAAGGGCCTGAGTTCAATCCCTGGTTCCCCAAAAAACAAAAACACACACACACAACAAACAAAAAGCTTAGGAAAGCACAAAGACCACGGTTCAATCCCCCCGCACCACATGCCAGCCAGCCCCGCCCCCTGGTGGGCTGAGCTGGCCACACACACACACACACACACACAAATAAATAAATTAAATTAAAAAAAAATGCAGTGAACCTATGCTCACATAAGAGTGTATGTAAGGCCTGGGCTCCACACTAGAGTGCCTGAGGGCCAACCCTGAGTGGCCAGAAGGAGCGTGCGGATGGGCATGGAACCTGGACTTAGGAAACAAGTACCTATTCTGTCGCGCACTGTCCCTTGAACGAGAGCACACAACACCAGCAATCCAAGCTCTTTATTGTTCCCGTTCACAGCAACCGAAGCCTCTACACGTCCGCTCAGCCGCGGCTCACTACTTGTGCCTCTTCCGGATCAGGGAGGCGCAGAGTATATATGTGACACATAAACCAATCAGGGCAAGGCAGATTCAGACAGGGGATAGGTTGGCGTCATCAGTAGCTGGGCAAGGTTGATAACAAGGAAGGCTGTTTACAAAGTATAGCAGTCAGGAAGCAGGAAATGGGCGCCATCTTAATAACATGGCTTGGGCGCGGCCCCCAACACTATTCAAAAGGCATTTGCTGCTCAATTTGCCTGACAGGCAGGCCAGGCAATGCCAGGCTAGCTGGCAGCTGGGATAGGCACACAGAATGCACACAGCAAACGGGGAATGTCTCTTGGCCTTCCTGGCTCACTAGTCATCATGTTGTGGGGTCCAGGGCCAAGCCCTCTGGTCTGGGCAAAGCTGAGGCTTCCTTCCAACCCCACCTGCTGCTGCAGTAGGAGTGGCTCTGCACTTCCGCTTCACTTCCTGTCCCAGGCATACAAGTGTCCCCCACCTCCCTGCCCAGGGCAACAGGACATTGACAAATGTTCCTCCTTCATAAACAAAGGACAATATTACCTTCCTGGGTGGTGGTTAAGAGAATTACAGGAATTGATAAATGTCAGGTGCTACCCACAGTCAAATCTAAATACTTGATCAAATGTAATGACTTTGCTTTTTTTTTTTTTTTTTTTGTTGGACCCAAGGTTGGACCTAGGCCCTGGCGCTTGCCAGGTGAGCACTTATTCCAAGGAACCATCTCCCTGGCCCCGAATGTTTTTTTTTT